AATCTTTACGATTTTAGTGTAAAAGTATGAAAAAAACGGTTTTTTGCCTGTGAGGTGGTTTTAAGCGATCAAACCGTAAAGGCGGGTCAAACTCAGTGGCAAAAATTGGTTCTTTTTTTTTTTTTTTTTTTTTTTTTTTGCTTTATAATTTAAAATAAAAATTGGGATTTTAATAAAAAAAATATGAGTTTATGCTTTATTATGTTTATGTTAATTGTTATTGTTAAAGAACTAATGATATATCCAGGAATGTTTAAGAATAAATGTAAATTCAAAAAAATTACTTTTTTATTTATATTTTATTAAGATATTTATGTATTATAATCTTAAAATTATTAAACTTTTATTATATATATACACGATGGAGATATACCTATGTTTAAATATCTTTTTATATATGTTTGGAGTATTTATAAATAATATCTAGAAATATATTATATTAAATTTTAAAAACCAATTTATTTCCGATTTATCACCGATTAATTACGCCGCACCGATTAATCGTGAGTCGGTGCCTGACCGACCCGATTATCGTTTTTTACAACCTTGGAAATAACTATCCATTTAGCACACATACACATGAGTGTATGTTATTAAACGTGGATTATCGTTTTTTACAACCTTGGAAATTACTATCCATTTAACACACATACACATGAGTGTATGTTATTAAACGTGGATTATCGTTTTTTACAACCTTGGAAATAACGTGGATTATCGTTTTTTACAACCTTGGAAATAACTATCCATTTAACACGAATACACATGAGTATATGTTATTAAACGTGGATCAAAGGTACGTTATCTCTCAGCGTATTTCATCGAATGTAGCATAACATCTAAGAAAAACGTGGGAAGGGAAAGAAAGTAAAAATAAGGTCGTGTAATATAATGTTTAAATTATTTATGAAAAACCAATGGTAATTAATCCATCCATAAAAAGAAAAAAAAAGTCCATCCATAAAAAGAAAAAAAAAGTGAAACTTTACATGAGTCACCACCCCCACTCACTGAGTCACCGCCCTGTACTTTCATCGACTCACTGAGTCACCGCCCCCACTCAAAATCCTCAAAATCCTAATCAATGTGAAGCATATCAACATCACCTGATTGATATCACAGCAAAAACAAAAAAGAAAAAATAAAAAAATTATTGAATAAAATTATTAATGTTGAAAAAAAAAGGAAATAATAAATAAATAATACCTGCAGCAAAGCAAGTAAGATGGTGAGTCTGGCATGTAAGATTGCTCGTCCTCTTACTTGCGCCACGTCATCCTTCTGCGGACAACCCCAACCAGCTTCTTCATCTCCCTCTTTTCTCTCCATCTTTTCTTTTTCTTTTTCTTTTTGTCTGATCAACTATTTGTCTTGATGATGATGTTCAGGTTACTAATGCAATATATATATATATATATATATATATATATATATATATATATATATATATATATATATTGTTAGAATTATTTTGTGCAAATTAATTATAAATTTGTGTCCGATAAATTCCAGATTCAGTTTTAGCTACTGTTCTACTGTTTTACGAAGAGTTGCAACAGTTAATGGAACAGTAATAAAAAGACACAAATTTTAAAGTGGTTCGGATACAATTGTACCCTACATCCACGGGGACCTGCAAATGAAATTCACTAATTTTTAGTTTTACGAATACAGTAATAGGACTTAATCGAAAATGCAAAGACTCCCTCTTTGTCGACGCCGTTCTTGTATCCTACGCTGAATTGTGAATCTTCACTTTGCAGCACGTCCCTTTCCGCACGGTTGAAATTCCTTCAACGCTGAGTCCCTCAGTCGGCGGATCGACCTCCTCCCGAGATCTTCTGAGTTCTCCTCCCGAAGAACCGATCTTCTTTTCGCGTGAAAGAAGCAAATCTTTTGCTGTGTTTTTCTTCTCGAATAAGATCACAACTCAGGAGCAGCAACGTAAGAGCAGAAAAAGTTTTTCTCTCAAATAAAAGGGACAACGTATAAAAACGTTGATGCTGCCCTTCTTATACTTCCTTAGGTGAATTAGTAGAGCCCTACAAAAATTAGAGCCCATTAGGTTAGAAATACTCTTCACGTAAGGAACAAGGAGTTATGTAAAACAAGGAAAGTCTTAGTCAATTAAATTCCTTGTTAATAAAACACTTAGGCAATTAAATAAATTAATGACAAAATAAGAGTTTAAAGAACTAAGGAAACTTCCCTAGTTTTTATACACGTTTTTCGCACACGTGTTGAAAAACCGAAATAGAATCCTCTCGGATTCTAACAATCTCCCCCTTTGTCATCTATTTATTATAATCAAGTCCTCCCCCTTGATCAAATACCTGACAAAACATTAGACTGCATAATAGAGTAACTGTTAGAACAGTTAAAGGAAAAAGCAGTTAACGAAACAAGAAAAAAGTTAAGCCTAGCAGACTATTAGAGGCCGTTGTTCAGAAAATCAATTCGACAACCACAAAAAAACTACTCCAGAATACATTCAGCATCAACGAACAACTCCTCGTCATCATTCGTATCAACTTCAGCTGTTGTACCATCAACTGTTGGAACAGTTGGAGCAACAACAGTTCAGTAGTAGTTCCAGCAGCTGCATCAGCTCCCCCTGTATGCGGTTCCTCCTGGGTTGATGCTTCGTTGTCAACTCCCCCTCAAGAATAATCTCCCCCTTTCTGAGCAAGGGCAGTAAAATAGTCGAGTTTCTTCTTCGTAAAAACGACCTCGAAAATCAGAGACCCCACTAGGTAGGTTGGCATAAAAATCATGAACCACTTGACAGACGCCACCGGGTTTGATGCGCTCGGAGAAAGAACCGAGAATTAAAAACATCGACAGCAGAGATAGGCACCACGGGATCCGGTGCAGAGTGACCTGCGGTGGTGCGAGTAGCGGAAGGCGAGGTTGAGTGAGTAACGCGTCGACGAGAGCGGCGAGGTGGCGGGGTGCAGGTGAGGCCGGTTTGGGTGGTTGCGATGGCGGTGCACACGGTGGTGGTGACGATTGGGCAGCCGGCGAGTGTGGCAGTAGAGGAGATGGTGGAGAATAGATGAACGGTGACGGCGGTGAGACTGGCGGCGACAGCGGTGGAGAAAACCTAGGGACCAAAATGAGTGGCAGATTGCCAAAATTGTCGACGGAGGCGGCCGTGAGGACCGTCGTTTGGACGACGAGGATGAACCACCGATTTTTTTTTTTTTTTTTTTTTTTTTTTTATTTCTTTTGCCCATGACGATGTTGTTGATTCCCTTCGACTGTGTTGAATTTTTGGGGTTTTGCTGCAAAAGAAGAAGAAGAAGCAAACAGAGCAGTAGGGAAGAAGAAAAATTGGAGAGAAAAAAATGAATACGGGATTCTCCAAGGATGACTGTTGGTCTGCTCAGGGGTTGTTTAGCAATTAGGAATAGTCAAGTGAGAGAATTGCAAATATAATAATTATGCTCACAATAAATTCAATTAATGAAAATCAAATTCAGATACATCAACTCTCAACTTTCGCATATGAAGCCCAACACAGTTCAAATAAACTTCGAGAAGAAAAAAATGCTCAGAACAGTGAGTTACTCCGAAGAAATATATTGCCGGAAAATTTTTTTTTTTTTTTTTTTTTTTTTTTCGTTTTTTTTTTTATTTAATAAATAAATAAATGCCTAACATGCAGAGGCAAATAACTAAGACGAAAAATAAACGTGAGAAGAAAAAAAAAAATGAGTGAATAAACACAAGTGAATAGGATACTATTAGGACTATCAAACCATGGGGTTTATCTTCAATTTTAACAAAAAGCAAGCTCCAAGAGATAGACTAAGGAGACTAACAGCAAATTTAGTGTCCTTAAATCAAGCACAAAAACACTCTTATTAGGCAGCATACACACACTATCAAAGGTAGCTTTTTCATGAAGAGCAGAGCAATTAAAATAGCGAGATAGTTATGATCGTGCAATGTGTAGTCCCCTGGGCTTTCTAATTGAGTCGTGTAGTGAGTGTTCGGTCATGTGGTTTACCGGCTCGACTCAAAAAGGCTTCGAACTATTCACTGACCGCATATAAAATTTATAATGGTCGTGCAATGTGTAGTCCCTTGGGCTTTCTAATTGAGCCTTGTAGCGAGCTTTCGGCCACGTGATTTACTGACTCAACTCAAAAAGGCTTCGAACTATTCACAGACCAATTGATTGACATTTTATATATAGAATTAACGAAAATTCAAGAGTAGCTTTCACTCATTTGAAGCGGCAGCTTTTCCTTATGAGTGTGTTCAACCATGACAAGACTGTGAAGGGTAGTAAATATGCTAAAGCCTCTGTAGCTATCATTTGGGGATTGATGAAGTTCTACCTCACAAGATTCGAAAGTACAGATAGTATCCAATACACAAGGGGTCTCATCACATGCAATATGTCTAATGCATAACCTAGATGAACAAAATGCAGTATGCGTGATGTGTCCATAAAACTTTAAAAGTTGCAAGTCTGGACACAGACTGTTGCAACAGTTTATGCAACTGCACAGGTCAGACAATACAAATTCCAAGCGAATTTCGCAAGGAATCAAACCTTTGTGCATCTAGGGGTTTAGTAAAGATGTCAGCAAGTTGTTTCTCCGTTGTGACATACTCTAATGAGACAGTTCCTTCCTCTACAAGATTTCTAATGAAATGGTAGCGAATTTCAATATGCTTAGTTCGAGAGTGCTGTACTGGATTCTTGGAAATATTAATCGCACTCACATTGTCACAATAAATATGCAATAAATCTTGACTAATACCATAATCACATACCATTTGTTTCATCCATAAGAGTTGGGCACAACAACTACCAGCGGCGATATATTCCGATTCAGCAGTGGAAAGCGAGATACTATTCCGTTTTTTGCTGTACCAGGACACGAGATTGTTCCCAAGATAGAAACATCCTCCAGTTGTGCTTTTTCGATCGTCTGCATCACCTGCCCAATCAGCATCGCTAAAGCCTCGGGTTTGAATTCCTTCTTCTACCGGGCCTTCCTTGTGAGTTTGATCATCCAATTCGAGATCATCATGACCCTGGCCATTTCTCCTGTTTCAGAATTGACGTCTCTTTCTTCTGAAATGGTAGAGGCTGCATCAACTGTTGGAACTGTTGGTGCGACACTGGAGCTGTTTTCCAATTCCTTTGTTGGTTCCTCTTCCAGTGGTCCAGCAGAGACAAGAATATAGCAGTTGTCAGATGATCGAGTTCCTTGAATAACACAATTTTCATCTTTGTCTAATACTCGACATGCGAATTTGTTGAATCTGACTTCAAGATCTTGATCACATAGCTGGCTGATGCTTATCAGATTTGACGTGAGTCCTTCTACAAGTAGTACATTCTTCAGCTTTGGCAGATTCTCATGATTTAGCGATCCTTTCCCTAGCACTTCACCCTTTTTTCCGTTTCCAAAGGTAACAGCTCCACCGGTGATTTGTTGATAGTTTTTCAGAAACTCTTTAACACCGGTCATATGTCGTGAACACCCACTGTCAAAATACCAATCATTAGTAGTACTTGCTTTTAAAGAAGTAATCGCAGATAAGCATTTAAACGTGGACTTTTCAACCCAAATTTTTTGCTGAGGTCTATTGGAAATATCAATTTTATTTTTGGGTTTTTGAGAGGGTGAAGGAAAATAATCAGCCCTAGCAGAGTAAAGAGAACGAGCCACAAGCTTTTTCACAAGTTTTAAATATTTGAAACATCTAGGACGTATGTGACCTGGATTTTGACAGAAAAAACAAGTGGGAATAAACCTTTTCTTTGAATTGTGTTTCGTTGCTTCAACAGTTGCAACTGTTTGTGAGACAGAAGCTTGTTTAACAAAGTTGATTTTTCTGTTTTGATCTTCCTTTCGCTTTAGATCAACTTTGGGTAGCTGACTCCCTCCTATGCCTAGACGATTATAGTTTGGCTTGTTGTTGCTTAAGATTTCATCTAGATTACCTCTACCCAAGTTCAATTTTGCAATTGCTTCTTGAGTTTGAGTAAGTTTAGCCTGCAAACTATTTTTCTCTTGATCACTAGATATGACCCTTTCCTCAAGAGTAGAGATTCTTACCTTTAGTGTCTTGTTTTCCTCTACAAGCACAAACTTCTCCTTTTCCAGGAAGTTATTTACCTTAACGACGTCGAGCCATTTTTGGTACATTTTTTCATATACCTCCTTTACTTCATCCAAGGTTGGTTCTTCCTCATCACTACTGCTGTTCGGATCCTCTGCAAAAGAAGAATTTTCGTTTAGATTTTTGTCATAATCAGAACACATATTTTCATACCTGGATTCTGTTTCACAGTCTGTTGCAACAGTTGATTCTGAGCTGTCCAGAGGAACTTTGCTGCTGAATGCTACAAAGTTAGTGACTTGATTGTTGTTTCCTTGGTCATCATCAGATTCTTCTTCATCGCTCCAACCAGTAGTAAGTGACATTTTCTTCTTTTTCTTCAGGGTGTTTGCGCATTCTGATTGAATGTGACCAAAGCCTTCGCATTCTCGACATTGTATTCTTCTTGGTTTTGACTCCTCTGAGTTATTTTGATTTGAATTTCTCCTAGAATTTTGAAAATTCACGGGTTTCCCTGTGCTTGGAAGATTTCCCCTTTTTTCGATCTTTTTGAGAAATTTCCCAAAATTTTTCGATAGTAGTGCCAAGGATTCTTCAACTGTTTGCTCATCTTCTTGAGTTGACGAATTTTGGGGCGTTGCATATGATGTTTCTGCTTGAAAGGCTATCTTCTTTTCTCTAGACTTTTCACGATGATTTTCACCATGATTGAGTTCTTGTGCTAGAAGTTTCCCCATGAGTTCGTCTAGTTTGAGCGTGTCAACGTCTCTGACTTCTTCAATGGCAGCAATTCGGTAAGCGAATCTTTCAGGTAATGAGCGCATCGCTTTTCTCACTAATTTGCTTTCTGAGTATGGTTCACCGAGTGCGTATGATTCATTGGAGATATCACATAATTTAGCATGGAAGTCAGTGATCGTCTCATTCTCCTCCATCTTCAAATTTTCGAATTTGGTGGCCAACATCTGTAACTTGGATGTCCTTACAGTTGACGTTCCTTCGTATGTGACTTGAAGAATTTCCCAAGCTCTCTTTGCAGATTCACATGACGCTATTAGTTTAAATTGATTATCATCAACACCACTAAATATTGCGTTTAGGGCCCTCGAGTTGTAGTTTGCGAGTAGTATTTCTCCATCACTCCAATCTGCTTCTGGTTTGAATACTTCCTCTTTGTCTTCTCCTTTGATCATGGGAGGTGTCCAACCAGTTATGATGGCGCGCCATGCTCTCTCATCTATGGATTTGATAAACATCTTCATTTTTTATTTCCAGTATGAGTAGTTGGAGCCGATTAGAAGAGGTGGACGAGTAGTTGAAGATCCTTCTCGTTGAGTATTCATATCTGCACAAAATAAGAGTAATCAGTTCCCAAAATCTCACTAGATATATTTAGTGACAGGCTCTTGATGCCAATTGTTAGAATTATTTTGTGCAAATTAATTATAAATTTGTGTCCGATAAATTCCAGATTCAGTTTTAGCTACTGTTCTACTGTTTTACGAAGAGTTGCAACAGTTAATGGAACAGTAATAAAAAGACACAAATTTTAAAGTGGTTCGGATACAATTGTACCCTACATCCACGGGGACCTGCAAATGAAATTCACTAATTTTTAGTTTTACGAATACAGTAATAGGACTTAATCGAAAATGCAAAGACTCCCTCTTTGTCGACGCCGTTCTTGTATCCTACGCTGAATTGTGAATCTTCACTTTGCAGCACGTCCCTTTCCGCACGGTTGAAATTCCTTCAACGCTGAGTCCCTCAGTCGGCGGATCGACCTCCTCCCGAGATCTTCTGAGTTCTCCTCCCGAAGAACCGATCTTCTTTTCGCGTGAAAGAAGCAAATCTTTTGCTGTGTTTTTCTTCTCGAATAAGATCACAACTCAGGAGCAGCAACGTAAGAGCAGAAAAAGTTTTTCTCTCAAATAAAAGGGACAACGTATAAAAACGTTGATGCTGCCCTTCTTATACTTCCTTAGGTGAATTAGTAGAGCCCTACAAAAATTAGAGCCCATTAGGTTAGAAATACTCTTCACGTAAGGAACAAGGAGTTATGTAAAACAAGGAAAGTCTTAGTCAATTAAATTCCTTGTTAATAAAACACTTAGGCAATTAAATAAATTAATGACAAAATAAGAGTTTAAAGAACTAAGGAAACTTCCCTAGTTTTTATACACGTTTTTCGCACACGTGTTGAAAAACCGAAATAGAATCCTCTCGGATTCTAACATATATATATATATATATATATATATATATATATATATATATATATATGCCAATTTGTTTATCTATTTTTAGTTACTTTCTTTTTTTATCTTATGGAATGAGAATCATGAAAGTAGAAAATTTTGCTTTGGTTTTTGTTTCCTTTTATTTTTTTTTTTTGTTTCCTTTTATTTAATTTTTCGGACAGGCCGGTGCCCTCCGGCGTCGAAAAACAAAATGTGTCTGAAACGCAAAAACATTATGAAGTTGAAGTTTGCATGCTACATATGAAGTTGAAGTTTGCATGCTACATATGGTGATATGCAGTTGTACACATGCAAATATTTATACACGATTTATCACGTGCGTCTACCACGATATGTATGACTTATGAGCTTCCTTTTTTTCACATTATCACTATTAAGAACAATGTTCACTTAATGCTGAGAAACTATGAACATATCATAAGATTCTCGTTCTTGAAAATCAACCCTTTTCCAAAGCCATAAAACGAGAAGGAATTCTAGGATTTTCATCAGGCGATTCTCGTTTTGACACGTGGCATTTATTTCATCGTAATTGCCCCCTCCGTCTTTTCAATGTCGTTCTATCAAGAAAATACCATTTCGTGAACAATTGTTCTATACTTGCAATGTAGAACAAATTTTTGTTAGGTTCAACTTTGTTCTAGTACGAGAAAGTGAAAAGTAAAAAAAAAAAAAAAGAAAAAGAAAAAAAGAGGGTAGTTAACGAAAAAAGGCACATTCGCAGAGCTTTTTTGCAACCAATGTCATCGTATATAAAACATCTATGTAAAGACGTTGTTCATATCTACGGGTTGTATACGAACAAATTTTGAAATTGAATTTTATGTCATTATCGAAAACAAAACATTAAAAAGAAGCATTTCCGTAATTGAGAATTAAATGATTGATATCGTAAAGATGATTGTAACACTTACCCCGTAAATACTAAAACTTTGATTTTAATGATGTGACATTTTCTTTCTTCTTTACAATAACCTTCCAACCATTATATTAATATATAAAGAGGAATATGCAATAACAAAAATTCAAAAATCTTTTAAAATTTCAATTATATTATAACTGAAAAAATTCTAATTTCATGGAAAAAAATATGAAATTTTATTCCAATATTTTTTATTTTATCTACAATAGTAGTTAATACCAATAAATTTGGAATCTGACATGCAATAAATTATAAATTTTTGCAAGTGAGTTGTACACATCGTAAATTTTTTGAGTAGAATATATTATGGCTACAATGAATATAACAAGTAATTACATAATTTATATATTCAAATGTTTCTGCTAACAATGAAGAGAAAGTAAAAAATTAAATATTGAAAATACCAAAATTCCGATTTTTTTTTCTTAAAATTATAATTTTGCAAAAATAAAATTGATTTGAAATATTATTAGATAAATGTGTATTTATTTGTAAAAAAGACAATAATTTATCGAGAATATGTGAAAAATGTATTTATTTATAAAAAAAACACGTGTTTAATTAAATCCATTAAAACGCAAAATAAAAATAAAATAAATTCATTGAAACGGAAAGTATCAATATCAATCCTCCGACTCAAAACCCTAAAATAAATTTCAATGGCGGCGTCGTCTTCAGCGGCGGCGAAGCCGCCGTGGCAGGAATTGCCGCGAGAGATAACAGCGGCGATTCTGTACAAATTGGGGCCGTTCGAGATTCTGACGACGGCGGTGAAAGTGTGCACTGCCTGGCGGAGCGTGTGCCAGGACCCTTCAATGTGGCGGCGCGTGGATATGCGAAGTACGAACGGCGGATGGGAAAGGCCTTTCAAAACAGAACCGATGTGCCGCCGCGCAGTGGATCTCAGCCAGGGCCAATTAATTGATCTCAGTATTGAGCATTTTGCTACCGATGATTTGCTTCTCTATATTTCTCAGAGGTATTATTATTTTTATTCAATTCTTCAAAAAAAAATTAATTTTTTTTTTTGTTTTTCATGTGTTGAGTTTTATGATTAATTATGTTTGTATTTGTATACTAATTTAATCTTTAGTATCACGTTTGCTATTACATTGAGATGTCATGAATCGTGATGATTATGATCAGAGTGTCGGAGCCAGCATAGGACTAGGGGGGCCATAGCCCCCAACAATTCTTAAATATCTATCATTTTATGTAGAAATATTAAAAAGAAAATTGTGTATAATAGCATTAACGGCCGCCTATAATTTTTTTTTTTACTGCATGCAACCCCAAAACTTAAAATCACTTAAAATCCTGGCTCCGCTAATGATTATGATATTGTTAAGAAGGTCGAGTCAACCCTTTGGCAAGGTGAAACATAAATTAAAGTAAAAGAAGTTCTAAAAAATATTTATTTTCTTTCTTGTCTTTCCTTTTTCTGCTCTCGTCAAAAAAAAAAAAAAAAGAAATCCTAATTTTTTTTCAGAGGCGCTGCCAGAGTTGTTACTATTTCGCTTTGTTTTCCTAAATATGTAACGTGTCATTGCTTTTTAAGTGGTATTGTAGTCGAGAAGTTTATTATTCGAGTTTATTTTGTTTGCTTTCGTGTATAATGAGATATCATATCTCTATATCGTGTATATATTTGCATTTTACACATCGTAAGTTTTCTAGATTTAAACATCTTTGTGCATAAAATATCAAGAGTTAAACGAGTCGAAGTTTCATGTGATTTAAGCTTGGGTTCCATTAGAAGAAGCTAAAAGAAATGTTTAGGGGATCCTCTGATGAAAATAGCTGTATCACATAGTTATTAAAACTAGTAATTGTTTCCGTGCGTTGCACGGGATAGCATTCCAAAATGGAATAAAATAAAATATATTAAAAATAAATTTTGTAATACGAAATATGTTACACCAATCTTGAAATATTTATAAACGAAATTAGTGTTATCTATTAAGATTCTTGTAGATCTTTTATTGCTATTTCATTATAAAAAATGGGGTAATTAATAAAACAAATTAATTACAAAGATGCCATTAGGGTTGGTTAGAGTTATCGATCGTTTTTTTTTTCTTGGAATCTTTCGTCTTTCTGCTTCTTGTTTCTTTATTTTCCAATTAATCTTTTCTTCTATTTTATATATCAAGTAGATGCTTTGATGTACAGTTAAACCTCTATAAATTAATACAGTCGGAACTAGGAAAATTTTATTAATTTATCAAATTATTAAATTATCGAGTTAATAGTTTAACATGTTTTCAACGAGTCGGGACCGAAAGAAACTATTATTTAATCGAGGTTATTAATTTATCGAGGTTCTACTGTATTATTATTTATGACATGTCCCCGCATTAATGTTATCTTACGTCACGTCTCGTATATGCATTATAACAGGTCTAGTCAGCTCAAGCGTCTTCAACTTATAAATAGCCTCCACATGTTTCGTAATTCTTTGATCGGAGCAATAAAGAATTTCCCTCTGTTGGAGGAGCTGCATCTAGAATTCACCGACGTCAGTAGAAAAACTATCGAAACTATCGGTGAATCGTGCCCGTTGTTGAAGTCGTTTAAACTGAACACCGACTGGCAAAAGTACACAGTGAGCGACGCGGAGGCGCTAGCAATTTCGAAAAGCATGCATGGACTGGTCCACCTTCAGCTTATCTCGAATCGAATGACGGATAAGGGCTTGAATGCGATTCTCGAAGGCTGTCCGAACCTCGAGTCGCTCGATTTGAGAAGGTGCTTCAAAGTTCGTTTGTGGGGTAATTTGCGAAATTTGTGTTCGGAAAGGATTAAAGATCTTAAGCTCCCTCGCGACCCAATTGACGATTGTCGATTCGGTACTCATGAAGTTTACAATGACGATGAATATGGAACGTGGGATGATGACATTTATGATGACGAAACATCGGAGGATGATGTTTATGACGACGAATCATCCGATGATTTTTGTGGAGGTTGTTGTTGTGGTGATGATGACATGGATTTGGTGTCGGATGTCGCGTTGGATGACGACGATGATTCTATGGAATACTCGGGGGATGAGTATGATGATGAATCCGAGGTTTCTTTTTGATTTGTCATCGAACGTTAGACCTTTTTTTTTTTTTTTTTTTTTTTTTTTGTCGAATCTAAATTATAATAGTGGACCTCGTCGTGCTTTTATTCTGGAAAATGTTGTCTACTACTATCATGGATATGATATTTTGGCTTGAGTATCGCGTGTATCGAGTGAATTAAAAATGTTCGTGTTTTGGATTTTGATTATTCAAAATATTATATATATATATATATATATATATATATATATATATATATATATATATATATATATATATGCACTCAATTAATTCCCCTGGTAATTTTCAAACATAATTTTCTAAACCTCTTAAAAGTCTTTCCAAATTCTCTTGACTGATTTTTTTTTAAATTTTACAAATCGTGAAGTTTTTCCGATGATTTCCGTTTGAAAGCACGACAATTATGAAATGGATCCACATAATCAAAATACAGAGTTGAAGTTACACTTTTTTATCAGGAATTTGCGTATTCCAAACGAAAAAAAAAAAAACCAAAACTTGAGCTCTGCTCGCCTAGTGTAGCATGAACCGGATGAACTCGTGTGGTTTGGAGCGAATTGACTAACCCGGTTCGCGCTATACTAGGCAAGCTGAACATACATTTATCAAACATTTTTCGTTTGAAATTATACGTTAGTGAAACGTTTGTATATAGATATGGAGTTTAATTTGCTTAATCAGTATATTCTCTTTTTACATCTTTGTGTTATATCGAATCGTTAAAATATCATATAGTCACTCGTGTGACCTTTATTGTATGCTATACCGGTGATGTTTATCTCGTCATATCGTACGTGTATGTATATACACATATCTTAAACGTTTTACAAATTACACGCATTGGACAGCATATTATGAAGAAAAAAAACTCCTCGTTGTGCACCTGATGCTTCTCCTTTGACATATCACACTCGAAATACTTTAATACATAGCACTTTGCACAATCAAAACAAAATAAGTCATCGAAAATGCACCCCACAACTTTGAATAATTTGGTATTAAATATTTGTTAACAAATTTGTATGTGCATGAGAAAATATAATTCTCAAGAAATTTGAAAATATTTTCATTTATTTATCTTCTTTTTTTTTTGTTTGCATTTTGTAGGTTTGGATTGGTTTGAAGAGGAAAAAAAATTAAAATTTTACACCTTAAAAAAATATCACTAACGGCTCGTATGGTTACCTATATCGGATAAGTTTAGATTATAATATATTGGATGAATTCATGACTAATTAATTATTGGGGAAATTACAATCACCTTTCTGAGGAACGGTCAATTTACGAAAAAACCCTTCTTGTTTGGATATTTACATCTATCCCCCTCAACTGTAATTTTTCTTACACCTCCACCCTTATGGTGTCAAATTCAACATAATCATCTAGATTTCGTGGAATGTGCTCTAGTTTGTACTCGTTTTGTGTAAAAATAAAGTTTTCAATGCACCACAATCTGATATATACAAGCCAAAAAACACATATTAAGATCATCTTGCTTCAAAGTGTGGAGTTCGAATGGGATAAAACGAGTAATAAAAGTGATAATATTTCATATAATATCAAAAATTCCACTAAATTTGAAACCGCAATGGTGGACGTGTAAGAAGATCTATAGTTAAGGTGAGTGGTTGTAATTACCCAAACATGAGAGGGTTTTCGTAATTTGACCATACCTCAAGGGTGGTTGTCATTAACCCATAATTAGTTAGTTAGTTCGATAAATAATAATTTTATTTTTTGTATTTTTAAATAATGTTTAGACTTGATTTCATTAAAATATATTCGATAATTTCGTATTTAGGGCTGGGACCCACAAATTATGCAATTAAAATAGTTTAAAAAACTTGCCCTATAAATAATAAAATATTATTTAACCCTAACTTGGGTTCCAAGTTTAATCTCCACACAAACATTGGGATTCGGGAATCTAATATTCTAACCCTATATAACAACTGTGGGTTTAATTAATTAATTACTCACTTCCGTCTTCATTCTTTTTCTCTCCGTCAAAAATTACGAACATGGAAGAAGATATCTCATCGCGCAAACGAGTCCGCCGCAACCCACCTTCCGCCGCCGCTCGGCCGCCGGCGCCGCCGTCCGACGAAGAGGCGGCCGGAAAGACGATGTGTGCGCCGACGCAGATGAAAACCGACAACCCCACATTCAAGAACAGTAAAAAAATCATCCGGAAGGAAGTTAGAAGGAAGCGTCCGCTAATTTCTTCCGGCGGCGGCGCTGCCGGAACGACGGCGGTGTCGATATTCAAGATCCCCGATCTCTCGTATTGCTGCTCGAGCGTGATGCAGCCGGAAATAAGCGGATGCGCCGTGATTACGAAGGGGATACTCGTCGTCGAGGGGGAAGTAAGATACGCGAGGAGGTGTTTGAGGGTTATGCTAAGGAGAAAAGGCGCGAAATTCGATTCGGTTAAGGTTATTTGGCAGGGAAAGGTTTCGAAACCGAGCTTCGGTAAATTCTCGATCCTGCACTGTAGTAGTGATGTTTCTGTCTGTAAATTCTTTGCTGATCATGGTGCTTCCCATTATTGGGATCTTGCTGTTAAATCTGTCTAGCTAGTTCATGAAATTTTGATTATATAGGGTTTCTTTTTTCTTTTCTTTTTTTTTTAATTCTTTTTATCTATGACAAAGTTCAATTCTTTATGTTAGATTTGAAGATCACATGACTTGAAGAAAGTTGAAGATTGTATATAGGGTATATTAATATAAATCAATGAAAAAGTGTTTATTTTTGCAATTATGTTTTTATATCTCTTGTATTTGGTTTTCTTGATTCTTGTGTATTGCTTTTGTCTGCAGAATGATGTAGATGTTTCTTTAATACTATTGGGAGTGTTAATCCCTAGTAGAAAAAGGGTTTCTTTACATACCAAATTCGTAGTGAAAAGGGCCTTTGCCGCGCATTTTCTACGAATATGCCCCGTAGCATATACGGGCTTTGACAAAAACTTGACTTACTACGACTTCAAAATTTTCCTCTAGTAAAAGGTAACTTTTGTTACGACTTTCAACTGGTTCTTGGTTTTAGTTTTCTTTATTAGTAGTTATTGTCTTAAATTAGTGTATATATATACATATATATATATATATATAATATATATATATATATATGTGTGTGTGTGTGTGTGTGTGTGTGTGTGTGTGTGTGTGCTGTCTTGTGTTCATGGTGAAAGTGGTAGATCCACAATCTGTTTTTGATTAAGTGGAGTACTAAGAAACAAACATAGCTTATTGTCTGATATATATATTTGCATATAGTACTATGAAGAATATGCAGATATTAGTTGTCTCTAGTTACTATATATGAAGATTACAAGAACTTTATATCTTAAGTTTTCTTGATTGTCTTCTTCTGAATAATATTAAGTCATATATTTTATCTAAGACATGATGTGATTTCCTCTTCACATAAAACCCATGCACCTAGCTCATACTGCATCCACTAAAGACTCGTTTCGATAACGAGTCCTTACATTTTGCCCTTTTTCGATGTTTCGGTCACACTCATCGACAACACTAATACTACTATAGTAGATCGATTATCAACTTCCGTTAATTTGTCTGAAGTTACTTCGAACATCATTGCTTCGTTCGTCTTGTATCCCACACCACATTGATCATTCGATTCGATAATTTACTCACCGACATAATTGTTGCATCTCAATTTATTTATTTATTTATAATTGTACGTAGCTTATTTCAGGATCTTATAACGAAAAAGATTGTTTCTTAATGGACAATAAATTTGGAGGTTGGCGTGGTTCCTTGGACCATTCAAAGAAAAATATAGTAGAGATGCGAGAAAAATGTTATGCAAGTAAGGCGTATGCATACATCCATATATAGGAGGGAAACGAAACCCTAGGTCGTCGTGTGTACTTCATGTGTACCAACTCGTCAGGCCGTCAACCATGTCAAGTCGTTCCTCTTACTTTAGAATAGTGCGTAGGCCATCAGAGAGCTCGAAAGTCGCCAGCTCACCTCTAACTCGTAAATATATATTGTTTTTCAAGCATATCGAACAGCAAATCTGTAAGCGACTTTGAAGATCATCAAAAAGTTTGCTTATGTTGTCCTTCCGATTGATGAACTATTTGTTTTCGGACAATATTGAAGCAATCATGTTTTTAATTTCCTCAATATAAATATTGTTACTATAATTAAAATTGTCTTAATTATAGAGTTGTATTTATAGATAAACAGATCAAATTTATCATGACATTTTCCAATTATTCTAACATATACAATGATAGTACTCTAATGCTAATTGATAGAGCATAGAAAATACTTAGAGATTTGTAAAATTCAATGATATGTTAATTACCATTTTCTCAATTTTAATGTAATTACTGTCAATTAGTTAATAGAGAATTCATGGAAATAAATTTAATGAGAAAGGTATTTTGGTCAGAAAAAGTGTAGCTTCTTAAGGTAAGCGTATATAAATTAAAAAAACATAATAAATGGCCTTTCTTTTTTAAATGAAAAGGCTCAAATTCCCTTTATAAACTTTGAAGAAAGATAAATTAATTGTACAACTTAATTAGTTTGAACAATTAATAATAAAAGGGCAACATTAGTAATTTAACAAAATACTCTTGAAATTTAAAATGACAATTAATATGAAAAAAAAAATGGTTAAACGATACTTTTAATGGGGAGTAGTTTCTTAGTAGGGTTTGTCTAGGGTGAGATACCCCATGTTCTAAATTTTTATGAGATATGCATTAATCACCATTAATTTTCTAAGATTAAATCTGGACCCTAGGAAAATAACATGGCTTATGTTCTAAAAAATGAAGTACTTTACCAAATTATCCTTCGATTATTTTTTTATTAAATTTATATAAAATTGATTAACATTGAATTGTCTAATTTACCCCCTACTATATTTTAATTAAATAATTAATTTAAATTCATTGTGACCGAGATTTATTTGATAAATAACCGAAAAAAATGCATTCATTAGGAATAGAACTTGTGACCTCTTAATACATTTATCACTCCTAACCATCCAAGCACATTAACTTATTATGATATATTTAACAATAATTGTATAAATACTGTTAATTCAAATATTAATTGCAACATTCATTATTATTAAATGATATTAAATAAATTATTAACAAATTTAATAAAATAAAGTTTTAAAAATATAAAGAATTGCAGTTCAATACGCCAAACATCTATCATTAATTATATAATATTAGAAGTATTAATAAACTCCACCATTTAATGTAAAGAATGCTCAATTAAATATAAAGAATGCTCAATTAAATATAAAAAAATGCATAACTTAATTCAAACTCACTTATGTTATTTAATCGATAGTGTGACAAATCCAAATACAAAATAAAATAATATGTTTGTTTAGAAGAAGAAAAAATTATAACTCATTTCAATTAGTAGTTTTCTTACTTTAAAATAAAATTATATACTACAAATACTATATTGTGAATTTCTTTTAATATTTAATTTAATCAACTAGTAAGATTTGAATCGATGAAGTACAAATCCTTTCAATTAGTAAACATTATTCAAATATTTTAATCGGTTGCTTAACTATTGACATAACATGTTACATAATTGATTTAACTATTTATAAGTAATGTCTAATATCTTTTTAATTCAATTTTGTCATAAAAAATAGTAAATTTAATTCCTAACACATGTAAGAACCTAACCGTAAATCATAATATTTTATCAAAGCGTAATATTTGAACCAATTAAGCTCAAGTGCTTTCAATTCGTTAAAATTATTCAAATATTTGAATCGATTCATTAGCGCGCTCAACTATTGACAAGAACGTCTTAATCAAATTAACTATTATTAATTAAAGTGTAATACATTTTTAATTCAATTTTATCATAAAAAAATCATTTCTAAATTACGCAAGAATCAAATCATAAGATTTATTAAAGCGTATGATTTGAATCAATTAAGCGCAAATCCTTTTAATTTGTAAATATTATTCAAAAATTTGAATCGATTAAGTTCAACCACCGACAAGAACGTATTAATCGAGTTAACTATTTATAATTAAAGTCTACTATCCTTTTAATTCAATTTTAACAACAAAATAATAATTTAATTCGTAAAATCGTAAAAATCATATCGTAAATCGTAAGATTTAATCTAACCATGAACCGATTAAATCTTACGATTTTTACGAATTAAATTTTATTATTTTTTATGATAAAATTCAATAAAAAAAAGGTTACTAAACTTTAACTATACACAGATTGATTAATACGCTATTGTAAATTATTGAGTTTAACCGATTCAAATATTTGAATATTGTATACGAATTGAAATGAGTTGAGCTTAATCGATCAAATCTTTGAATATTGTTTTTGAATTGAAAACACATGAGTTTAATTGATTCAAATATTACGATTTAATTAAATCTTCCAATTTACGATTCAATTCAAACTTCAAATTCTTTCGAAACTCATTTTTAAATTACACGAGTTGAACAACATTTCCTTAGATTTTTAAATTATATTATATAAAGATTTGTTAGTATGGGATATTTTTAATATATAATAATTATAATTATATGAGAATTAATAATTTATTTAACATTATTTATATAAGTTTTATAACCATTATAAATTGTAGCTTTGTGATATATATCCGTATTGTTAGTTTATTGTCAATTATGTGTTGTGTCTTAATGGTAAGTATTCTTGTGTGTTTTCAGATGGTCATGAGTTCGAATTCAGGTTGATGCAATTTTGGATGGGTGGTTTAATGATTTTTACGAATAATGATATAATTGACATTATAAATTTTAATTCAGCAAAAAATATATATTTAAAATTGCATTAAAAATATAGAGGGTAAAATTGACATTACATTAATAATATATAATGGCCGATTTTTTGAAAATATTAATTATACGAAGGGTATTTACGACAATACGTAAATGAGGAAAAAATGATTTTTTTGGCAGGGACATGTGGCGCAATATAAAGGGGGTATCTCATAAAAGTTTAGAACATGGGATCTCATCCTAGAAATATTTGTCAATCCAATAACAGGATATTATTTTGAAACGGAGAGAGTACCACTGTAGTGGTTGTCCTTTGTCATCATCTATCATAACCAATGTTCTAAAAATCGGCCGAGGCGGCCGATTAATCGGTCTCCGAGGCGGAGGCGGTCCAAAACCTTTACGATTTTAGTGTAAAGGTTTGAAAAATCGGTTTTTTGCCTGTGAGGCGGTTTTAGGCGGTCTGAGTCGGTCCGAGGCGGTCAAACCTTTAAGGCGGGTCAAACTCGGTGGCAAAAAATCGGTTAAAAATCGGTTTTTTTTTTTTTTTTTTTTAATTTTATAATTCAATATAAAAGTTGGATTTTAATAAAAGAAAATATGAGTTTATGCCTTATTTTGTTTATGTTAATTGTTATTGTTAAAGAACTAATGATGTATGCCACGAATGTTCAAGAATAAATGTAAATTCAAAAAAAATATTTTTTTATTTATATTTTATAATGACATTTATGTATTATGATCTTATGATTATTAAACTTTTATTATGTTATTAGGATATATACATAATGGAGATATAACTATGTTTAAATATCTTTTTACATATGTTTGGAGTATTTATAAATAATAATTAGAAATATATTATATTAAATTTTAAAAACCGATTTATTTCCGATTTATCACCGATTAATCACCGCCGCACCGATTAATCGTGATTCGGTGCCTGACCGACTCGGACCCGATTACCGATTTTTACAACCTTGATCATAACATGTACTTTGAACCTTCCAATTTGCACCCTTAAAATATATTTTTTTGACACTTTGCACCTTCAACTATAGTATTTGTACATACAATGACACAAGCATGTGCTAAAGATAATAGACTTAAACTATAAATAGTTAATTCGAATGCGTTCTTGTTAGCGCTTTCTCCCCGTAAAATACTAGTAAACTAAGTATTAACGGAAAATTTATTATATATACATTTATTTAATTTTTATACATTTATTATGATGGAAGAATGCTTAGCAAATTGCCCCTTCTTAGTAAGTACGCGCCAATTCGATAGGACATTATTTTGAAACGAAGAGAGTACCACTCTAGCTATTGTCCTTTGAGGTCAATTGTCATAACATGGACTTTGAACTTTAATACAGCGAATAAGTTTGGTTTAATTCCACTTTGCACCCTTGAAATGTAGTTTTTTAGCATTTAACACCTTGAAATATAGTATTTGTACATACAATGACGCAAGCATGTACTACAAATTTAATAAGCATACCCCTAAATCATGATACCATTTATATCCAAATTTTATTATTCAATAAAAACTACGTAGACTTTTCTTACTCCACAAAATATAATATAATATTTTAGTCAAGTCTTGATCATAAATAACATCGAAACTAACTTCCACTTGGCGCGACAACTTCGTTCCAAACAACACTAATTTTAGTACCATTTTTTAATAGTATAATCTATTTTGTCAAAAGTAATTAATGATAAATATGGCGCACGTGCGTTATACCCAAGTGAAGAAAGACACCACAGGCGAACGCCACGTGTTACTTATCAAAAAAAAAAAAAGGCGAACGCCACGTGTCAAACCACAGGTGCCCCTCTACAAACGTCGCTTTTTTTTTTTCTCTTACTTTTGAACCGGTTCGCAACAAATCACCCGTTCCACAGAGCTACAATCCTGTACAGCGGCGGGTTTCCGTGTTCCGCAGACACTCGCGAACACAAAAAAACCCCATGCAGTCAACGGTCAACCAAATCCAGTGGTGCACCATTTGCCAGTGGACTGTGTCGCAGGGGATTGCTACCCGTTCCCCTATCTAAAAGGCGAACACGCACCTATTCCGTTCTCCTTCTCTCATACTCATGACTCTTAGAAACACAGAGAAATAGATACAGGATTCCTGTACGTATATATTCATATATAGATACAAGGGGATTGCGTACGTATATATATATATATATATATTTATTTATTTATTTATGCGCATTTAATTATTTCCTCCCTAAATATTACTTCCGATTCGTAAATCTCGACAATGGCGGCGACGACGGCGGTTCCTCCACCGGCGGTGCAGGCGCATTTAGCCCCGACACCGGCGGCGGGGGCGGTGAGTGGGGGAGTGTTTCCGAAGTCGTCACTGTACGTGGGAAACCTGGAGGCGACGGTGGACGAGAGCAGGCTGTACGAAATGTTCAACGAGGTGGCGGAGGTGATCTCCGTCAGGATTTGCAGGGATCAGAATCGGATGTCTTCACTCGGCTACGCCTACGTCAATTTCACTACTCCCACCGACGGTCATTCTTCTTCCTCCGATCACTTTTTTTTTTCTTCTGTTTTTAATTTCCCATTTTTTACTGCCACGTGTATGTATATTATATATATATATACTGTTGTTGCATGCATGTGAGATTTAAATGGATTTATCTCACATTTATGCTCTCATTACCTTAAACCATCACAGATCTATACACACACACACACACACACACACACACACACATATGAAAGATCCAAAGGAAAAAAAATTAGATCTAAGGGTGCTCTGGAATTTCTGTATTTTTTTTTTTTTTTTTTTTGTGGTTTATTTTATTCATTATAATTACTAATTTGAGTGTTGGAAATTTTATATGTATGTTGAATCCATACATGTATTATGTGTATATATATATATATATATATATATACGTATATATGTATATATTCACTAGTAGAAAAATGGTTTTTTTACTACGACCATTAATGGTAGTAAAAGGGTACCGAATTTGTAGTGAAAAGACTTTTGCTACGAATTTGTGCGCCGTAGCATATACGCGCGTGGTAAAAACTTTGCTACGGTAAATGGTCGTAGCAAATACATTTTTGATACGGTAAATCCTAGCGTTTTTTATCGTCCCGTAGTAAAAGGTACCTTCTATTAAGGCTTTTTACCGTAGCAAAAAATGTTAGTATACTGATCGATGAACTGATTTTTCATATGGATATATTGCAGCTGCAAACGCGAGGAATAGATTGAATTTCGCTGAGGTGGACGGGAAGCCTCTAAGGATTATGTTTTGCCAAAGAGATCCGAGCATGCGTAAAAGCGGATATGCGAATCTCTTCATCAAGAATTTGGATCAAGCGATCGACGACAAGGCGCTCTACGAAACTTTTACCAGCTTCGGAACCGTGCTCTCGTGCAAAGTAGCCGTCGACAAGAACGAGAAATCAAAGGGCTACGGCTTCGTGCAGTTCGATAGCGACGAATCCGCGCAAAACGCAATCAAGTGGTTGAATGGAATGCTAATAAACGACAAAAAAGTCTTTGTCGGCACTTTCATTCGTCGCCAAGAAAGGGATCGAGCAAAAGGGTCCCCTAAATACACGAACGTTTACGTGAAGAATTTATCGGGAAATATCACGGACGAGGACTTGAAGAAAATGTTCGAGAAATTCGGCCCGATAACGAGCGCTGTCGTAATGAAAGATGGGAGTGGAAAATCGAGGTGTTTTGGATTTGTTAACTTTGAAGCGTTCGATTCAGCAGCTGCTGCGGTGGAGAATTTGAACGGATTTACGATCGAAGATAAAGTGTTGTACGTTGGAAAGGCTGAGAAGAAGGCGGAAAGGGAGGCGGAATTGAGGGCGAGATTCGAAGAGGAGAGAAATAATCGGTTTGAGAAATTGAAAGGTGCTAATCTTTACTTGAAAAATCTCGATGATTGTGTGAACGACGAGAAGCTGAAGGAGTTGTTCTCCGAGTTCGGGACCATCACTTCATGCAAGGTGTTAATAATTATTGTGAAATTTTTATATTACTTGTCGGCATTGTTGTTTTTCTTTACGATTTTTTTTTAAAAACAATTGTCGGTATTTTGTTTAGCTCATGCGCGATCCAAATGGAATGAGCAAAGGTGCCGGTTTTGTGGCATTCTCCAACCCGGAAGAAGCTGCGAAAGCTGTAAGATTGCGGATTTTTTTTTTATCTTAATGTTCGTTTATTTGTTGCGTTTTTATGTTTTTTAGTCCGTCCGATTATTTTCTTTATGTGTTTGTTTTCAGTTGAAAGAAATGAATGGGAAAATGATCGGAAGGAAACCTTTATACGTTGCAGTAGCTCAACGGAAAGAAGAGAGGAAGGGTTGGCTGCAGGTAATTTATACTATAACTATTCGTTCTTTTTTTTTTCGATCTTAGTACGTAAAAAGAAGTCGATAGTAAAATAAAATAATAACTAATCGAAGTAGTTCATTTTTTAGCTTCTACTTGTGTTATTCGTGTTTGTTTTAGCGGTAAATTTTGTGCAACAAATGTTTGTGAAATGAAAATGTGCCTCAATAATAACCTATATATGCTTATGATAACGGCTGCAAGAAAAGACGTCGTTTATTTTTCAGAGCCTTGTCAAGTTTTAAAGTAGAAGTAATTCTACTATTTTCAGGCACATTTTGCTCAGATACGTACACCGGGACCAATGTCGCCGTTGTCGGGAATGGCAGGATTCCACGCGGGCCCGCCAAGTCTTGCTCATCATCATCAGCAGCAGCAGCAACAGCTATACTTCGGGCCGGTGGGCCCGGGCCTCGTGCCTCAGATGCCGCCTCCATATGGATTTCCGCAGCAGCATATGCCAGCAGCAGCATTGCAGCCACAACCAATTCCCTCCAATTACGTCATGCCTTTCCAACTCCAACGACAACCTCAGCCCGTTCAACAGCAGCGTTTGCCTCCTAGGCGACCTCCTAATTCTCAACACCATCACCAACAACAGGTTTATAAACCTTTTTTTTCTGTTCCTTGCGCGTTCAGTGGTGGAGCCAGCATATGATCATGGGGGTCTATGCCCCCTCTATAAATTCTTTTCTTTTCTTATATATAAAATTATTTTATTTGGTGTGTGTATTCAGTGGCGGAGCCAACATAATAATAGGGTTATGGGGGTCTATGCCCCCTCTGTAAATTTTTTCTCTTTATTAACTTTATGATGATCACTTTTGTGTTCATTTACGCAGTACATGTGTATATATATATGAATGTGTGTGTATTATCTCCGATGCAGCTCAACTCGAATCAAGGTATGAGCAGATACATGGTGAATGCAAGAAACGGTTTCAATCATTCGATGGTTCCTCAAGGTCTAATGGGACCCGTTCTTCCCATCGATGTATCTGCACCGTTGGAAGTTCCACTTTCGGTCCCGTTATCTAGGTCAACCCTCGCTTCGGCTTTGGCTTCCGCTTCTCCAGAAAATCAGCGAGTGGTACTTATTACTCCAATTTCTCGGCTTCTTATTTTTTTCTTAACCAACTTTATCTAGCTATTGCTTAATAGTGACATCGTGTCGTATTTTTTTTTTTTTTGCAGATGCTAGGGGAACAACTTTACCCGCTCGTGGACCGTTTGGAGCACAATCATGCGGGAAAAGTGACGGGAATGTTGTTGGAGATGGATCAAACGGAAGTGCTTCATCTCATCGAATCTCCCGAAGCTCTGAAAAAGAAAGTCGTCGAGGCTATGGGTGTGCTGCATATAGCAACTTCGGTTCCCGAAATCGGTCATCAACTTCGCTCCTTGTCCTAATTTAATCAAATCAAGGCTTCTAGCTAACCATAGAGTTAGATTTAAACTTCAAATCTTATTCGTTCACTTAATTTTTTTCAGGCAAGAAGCTTTTTTTTTTTTTTTTTTTATTTTTTTTTTTTATTAGTATGCAGATTTTTACTTTGTTTTGAATTCTTAAAATAAATATATTCTGATATATCAACTTCTTTAATCCTTCATGCTATTTTTTTTACTTGGTTTAAAATGTAGTAATTTGCAATTTTTTCGGATTTTCGAACTAATGAATGTCGCAAAAAAATGAGCACTTAAATGAAGTATTTGTTCATACAACTGAAAAAAGCAGAGGGTCGGAGATCATAGGAAATCGGGGTGGATGTCATCTTCTACCCTTTGGTACAAGTTTCCACTCCCGATATTCTCCAAGTCATCGTCTTTTTCTTCAGTTATGAAGCTACTCCACTTAGAAACTCGTCCCTCGACTGCAAGGAAACGTGCATTTGGCTCCTCAGTGGCTGTATTTTCATCGTCGTCTGGCGTTATGTAAGCGTTCCACTTCGAGATTGATCCATTTATCTCTTTCGTTGGCTTTTGTACAAATGGCTCATCCATGTTGGTTAAACGGGTGTTCTTATCTTGAATCTGTTCCTTGAAACGATTCCATTTGTGAGCTAAATCTGATTGATTCGAAGGTGTAGGTTCCATGATTCGAACTCTCGTCGCGTAATCTGATGTCTGCTCCAACTCAGCCAAATGAATATCTGCAGCCCAACAGAAAAAAACAAATCGACCATCATCAATTCTTTCAAAATGAAAATTTGAACTACATTATGATATCAAATCTTATGAAAAAGCATCGAATTCGTTTTATTTTTTTTACCTTGGCAATGTTCGTTTTGGTGCTTTTTGGAATTACTTCTGTTCGGAAACGTTGGCTTGAAAAGCTTTTCGATATTGCCACCATTGGAAGAATAGCCCTTCACCTTCGGCTTCTTGAACAGCGCCTTCGGCATCTCAGTCACTATGATCGGCTCATCGTCTATTCATCCAAAAAATCGACATAAAAAATCACAAAACAATTTTTTTTTTAATAAGTTATCTTCTCTTAGACATTTAATCAAACACCTTGTGTGCGATCTTCGTCGTCTATATGAAACTTTCCCCGATATTCCTCTTGATCGTCGTTATCAACATATTCAGTCCAATCGTTTCTCTTCATCTTCTTCGTCTGTTCGTGGATCGGAGAATTGTCGGAGGTACGATCGTGTTCATCGGAGAGATTGAATTGATTTTGATCGGAGAATTGACGAGACATGTTGAAAGTCTGGACGAATTTGCGTACGTCTCTGGCCATGGATGCCTGTGCGAAAACCTTGCGCACAGATTGCTTCTGATTGCACACCACGCAGATCCACTTGTTGCTGCTCTTCTTCTGCTGCTTCACCTGCATATATATATATACAGTGCAATCAATTTTCAACATACGAAGAACACGCAGTAAACACACACATTGAATGAGAGAGAGAGAGAGAGAGAGAGAAACAGAGTGAATTGCCTGCATAGTCGAGCATTCGAAGCATTGAACAGCGATGAAGGTCGTCGGCATTTTTGCTTTTCGGTGATGTGTGTTTTTGTGTGTGTGTGTGTGTGTGTGTGTGAGAGAGAGAGAGAGAGAGAGAGAGAGTGGCGGGGACAAAAGGTTTTCAAACTAAATTTACAAGAGCGCGCTAATTTTATTCTTGGAAAAATTACATCTACACCCCTAAAGTTTTCTAAAATAACTTTAAGGTCCTTATAGTATCGATAATTACAATCAGCCCCTAAAACATAATTAGAAACTTAGAAACTCTACGAAATAATACATTGGATAAGTTATTTCGTTAGGGTTCTAACGAACTATTAGTTTCATGCAGTGGTGGAGTCAACATAGTGTTAGGGGGTGACATGATTCTCCTAACATTTCTTAAATTCTTATTATTTTTATATAAGATTTATAATTTTTTGTTTATGGTAGCATTAACGGTCCCGTGGGAAATAATTATAGTGTATATCGGTCCCCAGGACATGAGTTTTTTTTTTGGTGGCTCCGATAACTATTTCAAGGGTGTGGTTGTAATTATCAATACCACATGAATATTTATTCTTCAATTAGAGCCGGTCTTGGAGGGAAGCGGCGGATGCAATTGCTTAGGGCCCCACTTCCATGTGGGGCCCAAAAAAAAAACTTAATATACAAATATATACATATATGTGAAGTTTGAAATAAGAAAAAGAGAAATGTGAAGATTGATTACACAAGTGTACTTAGTGATTTTGCATCAAATAATGCTAGAAGAGAGAGTAATGTTTAAATAGTTTTTTTATTGAGAAATTAATGAGACATTTGTAAAAAAAAAATATCTACAATGAAAAAAAGTTCAATAATATTAACATAAACGAGTGCAACATTTTTTAAGTTCGCTTAGGGTCTCAAAAATGTCAGGACCGGCTCTGTCTTTAATATAGGCGCTATGGTTTTGTATTCTCTATGGGTGGGGCAAAATTGAGATAAAGGGCTAATTATCCTGCCTTTCAAATGTTAGATTTTGGATTAATGCCTGCCTGGTTTTCATACCAAAAATAAAATATACATCCATACAGTCAGTCAACTTAGACACGGTCAAGGCCGATTTTCGGCTCGGAACCGGCCCGAACTGGTCCGTTGACGAACCGGACTGACCCTTTAACCGGTGAATTGGTTCTGGAATTGTGAACCGGCCTGTGTCCCTCGGGCCGGCCCGATTCTTGAAATAGATGAACCGTGAACCGTCGGGTCGGCCCGGCTATTCACCCGAAATTAAAAAAAAATTGAAAAAAAAGCTGAAAAAACTTAAAAAACTTGAACCGGCCCGGTGAATCGGCCCAGTGAACCGGCCGTTATTTGCTCTTTTTTGAATCCCCCACCCCATTTTTTCCAATAAATACCCTCACACCCCATTTTTTCCTATAAAATAAATTTCAAGTCATTTTATTTATTTTCTTTTGTTTTTTTCCATATTTAAAAGTATTTCTTTTAATTTATTTATCCATCAAGTATTTTCAAAAAAAATATATATAAATCCAAATTTTCGGGCCGACCCGGAACCGGCCCGGATGGGCCCAGAACCGGAGTGAACCGGCCCGCCGAACCGTGTACGGGCCGGTTCTGGTTACGGAAAAAATGAACCGTGAACCGGAATGAACCGGCCCATGGCCGTGTCTAAGTCCACTACTATCGTTGTTTGGCACGTCCTCCGTGTTCTATGTCATCTTCATCGTTACGAATCCAACTTGTTATATACTCCACTAAGTATTTAAATCCGCTCCGCCAATAAACGCAAGAATCACCGATTTCCATGTTTCTGCTTCGACATTTTCTAGCACTCCGAATGCAACTCCATTGAATAAATCAATGAAGCCGAAATATTCAGCTGCTCCAGTTGCCATAAAAAGTGACAGTACACTTATAGTTGCTGCCACGAAGGCGTACAGTGATGCCATATCGTCGAACTTCTTTCCTAAATAAGAACCTAATAAAGGCATTCCGACAGCGCAAAACAATTTAACAATTTTAATTACACGTGGCCGCTTTTCTTCGTTACTTTTCGTGGCCATAACCCGAATACTAACTAACAACAATCCCAACCATAACAAAGTAGAATATCCCTCCAAACGTAAAATGCAGAAGCACCTTTGAGACAAGTCTAACCGATTCACCCATTTGTTTTTCATCATCAAAATAAGATATGACACGAGACGAGTAATACTTCGTCGAGTATAAACAAATTCATCCTACAATGTATGTGACCATATGTAGGGCTGCCCAAAATGTCCGGAACCCTATAATGAAGATCAAGGCATTTCTAACCGCATCTATAATTTATGTTAACATCTACAAGTAAAATTCAATATTTCAATATAATTCATACATCTCCGTTATCATCTGCACACATTGAAACAGGCTCCAGCATACATTTTGCACATAAGAAACAGTTTTAAGATTACATTAAGCAAATCTCACTAAATGACTATTAATTTACATTGTACATGTTCTTATGGTTAACTGTAAGATCCATTGACATCAAAATAAAATTGAAAAAAAAAAGGAATCTTGTTCATTTGGCATAAGAATATATATCATTTTAGGCCTCGTTTGGTTGGCAAGATAAGATTAGTCAAAATGAAATTAAATAATATAATGAAGCTCGATTGTATTATTTGACCTTGGAAGATCCAATTAAAAATCATGCCTACAAAGCAACATAATGTATGATAACATAATATTTGCGGTTCAACCCGACAAATCATTCAGGATACCAAAAATCAAACAAAGTCACATTATTTAGTTAATCATCTCTAATAGATTATTATTTAATAAACAAATACTTATCACCAATACTCATAAGTAATATTTTTTTTTCCTATTTTTATTATACAATAATAGTAAAGGATTAAGATTAAACACTGACCGTCAACAGTATCGCTTTTCCAATCGCTGTTGTTCTTGCTTGATGATACTAAAGTTAAATCACCTTAGAGTGTTGAAGTACGATGAGCTGGAAGAGCATTGTGGATCACTGGCTCACGAGCTTGATGACCTTGAGATACCTGCGATCATAGAACAAGTGAACTAGGTCGGGGGTTGATCCGACGGAAACCCCTCCAACGCTCAAGTCAGACGTGCGGATAATTATCATGGTCCAGAGAATACAATGGATAATATTACTCAGTTAATAGGACGTACCTTAAGGAATGAGTTCATACCTTTACTTATACCTTATAGAAGTGGAGAATTTTCTACTGTCTCTATCATTCGCAAAGTTGGAGTCAACATAGCCAATTTATTCAATTTCAATTTCAGATTTAGAAAAATTTAGGCCAATATGCAAAGAATGTTTCAAATAACGAAGAAGCCATTTCAAAGCTTCCCAATGCGGCATACCTGGGTTCGACATATAGCGACTCAAACAACTTACCGCATAAGCTATATCAGGACGAGTGCTTACCATCAAGTACATCACAGAACCTATCGCATTGGCATAATGAACATTTTGCATAGAGTCAATTTCAGTTTCAGTCTTGGGGGACTGATCCTTACTTAATTGAAAATGGGCAGCTAAAGGCACGTTTGCAGGTTTAGCATTAGACATGGCAATTTTTTCTAAGATCTTACTCACATAAGAAATTTGATTCAAGAACAACAAATTATTATCTCGATTGCGATCAATGTTCATGCCAAAAAATTTTCTTAGCATCCCCTAAGTATTTCATGTCAAATTTGTTCACTTAAACGCATTTTCACATGATCAACAGATTTCACACAAGGGCTGATTATGAGCATATCATCAACATAGATCAACAAGAAAACAGGCACAGAGTGAGCATCTTTGAAGTAAAGACAAGGGTCATAATCACTTTTCTTAAACTTCAACGAAAGCATGCAAGAATCGAATTTCTTATTCCATTGCCTAGTTGATTGTTTCAAGCCATATAAAGATTTTTTCAGCAAACACACATATTCAGGATTTTTAGCATCTACGAAGCCCTCGGGCTGTTTCATGTAAATATGCTCATCTAACTCACCATGCAAGAAATCAGTTTTTACATCCATTTGTTTCAATTCCCAATTAAAATGCGCAACTAATGCAAGCATAATACGAACAGTGGTAAATTTAACAACGGGAGCAAAAATTTCAGTATAGTCTATACCTTCCTTTTGCGTGAAACCTTTAGCAACAAGACGGGCCTTATACCTAATGGAGTCTACTTCATCCTTAACCTTAAACAACCATTTGCAGCTACCAAAGAGCAATTAGCAAGTTTAGGAACAAGAGTCCAAGTTTGATTAACATGCAAAGAGTTCATTTCTTCTTTCATAGCATTTAACCATTCAACTGATTTATCAGATTTTAGGGCATCCTTAACAGTTTTAGGTTCATTGTTATCTATAGATTCAAACACATTGAAAACATGAGAAGCAAGATGAAAGCTATCAAAATGTTGTGGAGGCCTAGCATTTTCACGTCTAAGTCGATCTCTAGCAAGTTGATAATCAGACAAGTCATCCACATCAGGCAAGTCATGTTCAACATTTTGGTCATGCAAACTTTCAAGTATTTCAGATTCAATACCAGGCACATTTTCAGATTTAACAGTAGGCAGCTGCACCTCATTTGGAGCAGCCTCTGAATTCAAAGCATTACGAACAACAAGGCAAGGAAAAACAGATTCATTAAAAATCACATCACGATTAATAGCAGTTTTATAGCCATGTTCACCCAAAGTCTATAACCTTTAACCCCTTCGGCATAACCCAAGAAAACACATTTCACAGAACGAGGTTCAAGCTTATCACTTTTATGATGCATGAATGCAGCACAACCAAAAACACGTAAGTTGGACAAATCAACCTTTTTACCCGACCAAACATATTCAGGCAAATCACTATTTAAAGGCACAAAGGGAGATCTATTAATCAAATAGGTGGCAGTCAAAACAGCCTCACCCCAAAACATAGTTGGTAAACCCGAAGTGGCGAGCATGGCTCGAACCCTCTCTAAAAGAGTTCGATTCATACGTTCAACCACCCCGTTTTGCTGAGGGGAGTAAGGAACAGTTTTGTGCCTTTTAATACCAGATTCAGAGCACATAGCATCCATTTCTTGATTACAAAATTCAGTACCGTTATCTGTCCTAAGGGTTTTTATCCGTTTTCCTGTTTGATTCTCAATATAAATTTTCCATGTTTTGAACTTATCAATAACATCAGATTTTTGTTTCAACAGGAAGACAAACACCTTACAAGAGAAATCATCAATGATGGACAGAAAGTAACGGTTCCCACCATGTGTAGGAACACTGGCAGGACCCCACACATCAGCATGCACATACTCAAGAATATCATAACATTTAGAGGGATTAGGGGAAGGGGTTGGTTGAAAAGAAACACGAGTTTGCTTTCCAACGATGCAAGAGTCACACATAGTAACCTCAGACACTT